TGGAATTTGCAATATGGGCATTTTAATCTTTAATTTATTCTTATACTACTAAGTTAAGACTTCTGACTTGATAGAACTGACACAGTTTTGACAAGAGAGACAAGGTGCTGTTTGGAGCCGCAGGAATAGCCCTGACCCCTATTTAAAGCTGCTACACAAACTGTGTGAATGTGACTATCTTTACAGACTCATTTATTTTTCTGTAGAAGTCTTTAATTCCCTTCCCTACATCCCTTAACACTCACTCATCTTATATGCCACTCTCCAGTTTTAGTATTGCTCATCTTTGGGCAGGGAGGAGGATTTTAAAAATTGTATCAATATATAGTTGATTACTGTACAGAGAGCTCTAGTCACTGCACTAGTGTAAAATCTAGGGGCTTGACCCTGCAAACACTTATGTACATGCTTAACTTTGCTCACGTGAGTCAGCCCATTGACTTCAAAGCTACCCTCGCATTGAGCGGGGATTACTTGCATCAATAATATTCCATGTGAGTACAAGTGTTTGTGTGCAGGACTGGAGCGGAGGGACTACACATTACTAAGGGCCAATTTCTGGTACCCATTCTCATGCTGAGTAGTATCTTATTTCACAAGTGCTTCCATTGGCGTCAGCGGAACTCTTGTGGAAGAGAGTCCTAATCTCTCAGTAGGGATAGCAGCATCTGCTTCTACATGTATCAGATATGAGGTGGAAAAATCATCTTTTTAGCCTCACGTTCAGCTCGTCCTCCAACGGCTCACAACTCCTGCTTTGTCCAAGTCTCTCGAGCAAGAGACTGGAAAAAGTTCTGTGCCTAATTCCGGCTTCATAGTGGTAGAGAGCTACAGTCACTCCAGTGAAGTCAGAGTAGACTAGCATGCACTCAGAATGGGGCTTTGCTGTTAGTTTGTACTAAGTGATCTGTGCTGAATATATTTCTGGCTCTTCTCCTAGTGAGTTAACACCTTAGTGTACATTATTCCTCAACAGAGAAGATCTAGTTCTGTCCTGCTTTAAAATTGTAGTTAATCCTAGATTCTCCTCTGAACGTCTCTTATTTTAAGGCCCAATGCTGCGTGGTGCCAATCACCTCCTGCAAGGTTCGTTCAACTCCTGTTGGTTTCAGGAGGGCACTCCACACCTTACGGGAGCAGGCTTTATCCATTGTAGCTTAGAGAGGTTTTCACTGAGGGACTAATCTTGCACACTTCGATTTGATGGGAATGTTAAGAGCAGGCTCACACCCCGAGTTTCTTAATGGTAGCACTGCAAGTTTACATTCTTTTTCCCTATCTTGTGTGTGATTGTATATGGAGGTATTTTTATATAAATTGAATAGCAGTGTGGCATGGTTTCACGTACTGTATTTGTAGAAGTAACTATTGCCTGTATTTAATATATATATATATTTGATATTTTAATGCCAAGACACTGTTTATGTCCAAATGTGAAAAAGATTCTTAAAGATGCTACTGTCTAACCTATTGAACTTTCCAATATGTGATTATAGTTTTTTATTGATTTTTACATCTGTGGTGTTCCAGGTGTCATAGTGACATTATTTGCATTCATCCCTATAAATACTAGGTTACACACACTTCTATAAGTTACACAGCAATTGTTCCAAATAAGCATCATTAATAGCTTTACCACGTATACTCTTAGATTATGTGTTAGGCTTGCTTTTTCTCTGCACTATGTCAGAAGGTCAACTTATATTTTCCTTTTGAATATCCAATGTTTACATCGCCAATGCAAGAGTTACATATTATACTAACTGAGTCAATAAAATATAGGCTCATGTAATCATGAATTTTCTCCTTTTTTTCCCCCGGCACGGCCAACCCCATTTTGTCTGTTGTACAACAAAAAGCTGTTTAAGGGAACATATGCAAAATATAAAATCTATATTTGAGCACCAAATCTCTGCCCACTGAAAGTCGTCTTAAAGTAGAAAGTGACAGATGGAATTAAAATGTACATCAGCCCCAGAACTGTGGGATAACATTACTGAAATTAATTGAAGGTTGAAATGGATTTTGAAAAATAAAGTTCAACTGTCAGAAAAAAGGCTCCTGTTGTGAAATCCCCTTGAATTTGTCCAAGAGAAACTCTTGTCACTAGCTACTATTTTGAAACTAGGGGTAGCTACTTGCCTTAAGCTACAATGCGAACACTACTGGAAGAAATAAAATACCCTAGCAGTTTTGTTCAGTGAGAAGCAGGTCATAGCTGACAGCAGGGCAGTATTTACTGAGGGAAGGCATACCCTTCATATCTGATCTCTGTACCACTAGCTACCTGATACTGCATTTACTGTTAAAGGTTATGCAGTATTGCCAAATGCTTTAATAACTTGTAATAATGCCCCTTTATTTACGCTAAGATTTGAATCCAGACACTGATACGCTGTCTTGGCAGCTAAAATGCTGTCTGTCCCACTCCATAAAAAAAGTCCTACAGAGAAGGATTTTAAAGTACACAGAATACTGCTGTGGGAATCTCTATTGTAAGGTACTGGTCACTGAAGAGCTTAAAAACCCCTGCAAGATTTATTAGACCCCCTTAGTGTCTGTCACTCACTATTACTTCTCTCACTTTCATTACTGTGCCTAGACAGATTCAGCAAAGCACTTAAACACACACGTAAGTGCTTTGCTGAATCGGGGCCTATATAAACAGTCAAGAGAGCTTTTAAGAAATGGGACCAGGATCCACCACAACTAAACTGTCTGTAAATCTAGGCATAGCAAGAAAACTAGAGAGCCACATACATAGCATCACCCTTTGTTGTCTTCCATAGCCTGGCTAGTACACTGAGTTATCTCTCCAGACCAGAACCCCAGGAACTAAGGTAACTCCACCCATTTAAAGTGCCTTTTACATGACATCTGAACTTGAATTTGTAAGTTGGTGCTTGCATAACTCTTCCCTTGTGTGTTTAAGGGGGATTAGACTCTGTTAGTGGTCCAAATTAAATTATTTTGAGGTTCTAAGAGAACATTAAAGGCAGCTTTGTTCCTGCTAAAGTGCTGTTTAGCAATGTGGGGCCCGGTCTCTGTAAGAGATGCAGAGAATATTTCAGAAGTGTATGGAGAGTCACTACTGAAGAAGTAGCAGCAGCAATGTTTGAAAGGTAGGAAGTTGGGTCCATTTCTCCCCGGGCCACAAAGAATCCTACCAGAGGGGACTCACCAAAAAAAGCTGCCCAGAGACCTCCTTGGTGAGTTCCCCCTGATGATTGTGGGAGGCTCTGAGCCTGTGCCTCAGTGGTTCTGGCCACAGTCCTTGACAGCCAGACTACCAGGGCCTCCACCCAGCCATAGCTGCCTCCAGGATCCCTGCAGCAGGTAAGACTGTGCAAAGCAGGTACCATGGCCCCAAAACATGCACTGGGCCCAGGGATGGTGTCATGCAACTCGCCCATCCCCCTATCATTTAAAACAAGAGTTGTACAAAAACTAGTTGACCCAGAGAGACAGGCACAAATGGCTGCCGTGTTGCTCCTGTCATGCACTTCAACATTTACTCAAACAATCCAGTATTTACATTGCAATTAAAGTATTTAAAAATGTTTCTGACCTTCATTAGCCTTTCCAGGTTGGCAGCTTCCCAGCTGCTGCAGCCATTTTCCTCCTAAGCCAGCTTTCTCCAGCTGACATCGGGGTCACTAGAATTCATTTTGGGCGGTGGGGCAAGGGAAAAGACAAAATCCTGAACATACTTATCTGCACCTGTTACATATTGGAAGCATTTGCTAAAGTGATCTGGACCTTACCATTGCTTGTCATGTAGGCAGATGAGAGCCTTCAGCCTAATCTACTTTGGGCCAGTGGCTGGTTAGCACTTTGTTTGCAACAATGACTTTAAATGCCAGACCAAGGCTCTGGGCCCACAGGGACCTGGGTTTTTAAAACCAAAATAGCAGGAAGGCAGTCTCATTATTTAGACTTGTCCCAGGGTGCTCACCACGGGTAGTACTTCCTCCTAGCTGCGCTGGAGAACAGCTCTCTTCCAAGTCTAACAGTTGCCCTGGGGGCTCTCAACGCACTGTCCTCCTGCTTACCCCCTCTCTCACTTCAAGGGTTTCAGCTTTATCTTTGTAACTCATCCCTCCACCCAAACTATGTGGTTTCTCCTTCCGGGCTATAAAGTCTTACTGGACCTGTTGTTCTCAACCTTTCCAGACTACCGTACCCCTTTCAGGAGGCTGATTCCTCTCACGTACCCCAAGTTTCACCTCACTTAAAAACTACTTGCTTACAAAATCAGACATAAAAATACAAAAGTGTCACAGGACACGATTACTGAAAAATTGCTTACTTTCTCTTTTTTTTTACCATATAATTATAAAATCAATTGGAATATAAATATTGTACTTCCATGTCACTGTGATACCTGAGCGTGTTTTTCACTTGTGAGCCTTGTCTGAAGCCTGAGCCGCAGGCGGTGGGGCTGAAGCATGTAACTTAGTTTTACGGGGGCCCCCTGTGGCGTGGGGACCCAGACAATTGCCCTGCTTGCCACCCCCTAATGCCAGCTCTGCACTTGCAATCCCCCTAAACCCATCACATGACTTCCCTGGGCACTGAAACTCCCAGGTTGAGAAACACCATTCTAGATGAGTTGAGTACGCTCTGGAAGAACTCTGCATACCAGCAGGTTGAGAACCACTAGTCCAGGCTATGCCACTCCATCACTGGCGGGTAGGGGAACCCAGGGCCACCTCCTACTCCACATTCAGCCCAGGGACCCTGCAGCACCCAGCCAAGGTCTGCTCAGGCCCCAACCTTGCTGCTCTCTCCCTTGGCTGCTGTCTACGCCACCTCCCACCTGGGTTGCCAACCCTTCAGGATTGTCCTGGAGTCTCCAGGAATTAATCTTTAATTAAAGACTATGTCATGTGATGAAACCTCCAGGAATATGTCCAACCAAAATTGGCAACTCTACCTCCCACAGACTTTCTTCTCTACCCTGCTCTCTCCTGGGTATGCTCTTCACGAGGGCCATGCTCCCAGGGGCTCTATTCTTTCCCTGGGTGCCCTCCTGCCTTCTCTAATGCAGACGAGGATGGTGACAGACTTCCTCACTGCAGCCATTGCTGTTGCCAGCCCACACCTGCTCAACTGAGCATCAGCTTTGGCTCAGGAGTTACCTCTATGGCCTAATCCCCTCCTGTGTGGCCGATCACACTAACTGGCTTTTCCTTCACCCTTTCAGGGCTGGTGTGGGCGGATACCCCATCACACTTGTGCTTATGCACGTTCAGCAGTTCTGGGCTTTACTACCCAAGTCTGTTGCTCGGAGAGGTACAGATGATTTGCCATACCAGACCACTGAACCATCAAGTCTGAAATGCCACCTCTTGGCCAGGATTGTCCTGGAGTCTCCAGGCATTAAAGATTAATCTTTAATTAAAGATTATGTCATGTGATGAAACCGCCAGGAAAACATCCAACCAAAACTGGCAACCCTACGGCCTCTGGGGTGATATCCTGACACCACTGAAATCAATGGGAGTTTTGCCACTGATGTCAATGGGGCCAGGATTTCACCCCTGCTTCACAAGAGGTAGGGATGCATACATGCAGCGTGCATTTGGAAAGTCACTTGTTATTTGGGGAAAATAGTTTTAAGCAGCTGATCTCGCTGGGCAAATCCTCTATCAAAAATGAATATTAGTAGGTCTGCCTTAGAAGAGTCTGAATCACTGCAAGGAGGCCTCCCCTATGGAGGCTGCCCATGCACAAGAGGTGACCTCAGCTGGTCTCAGATTTAAAGTCTACAGTTTGCCCTCGAGGCTACAGGCTGCCCCACTTCCACATGCTTATCCGCTGTAGTGCTGGCTCCTTTCCTTCTGCTTCATCAAGCAAAAAAATCCATGAAAGCCCCTCAGCACCAAGCAGATTTCCTCCTTTTAACAATCTGCTTCTGCTATAGAGAGGAGGGGGTGTTGTTCACTAAAGCCTGCTTTGCAGTAGATAAGAGAAGTGAGCAGTTAAATCTTAATAAATCATCTCTTCCCATTCGCAAGTGACAGAAAACACCTTGATCAACTGTTATCCATCTCGCCCCTCCCCACTAGAGCGCAGTACTAAGCTAAACTCAGAGGTGAAAGTAAGCCGGTATGGTACGCGGACCACATCGGCTTCCGCGGCACTGCTGGGAGCCCAGCGCCCTTTAAATCCCGCCCACAGCTCCGGCGGCCAAGCTGGGGTCAGGATTTAAAGGGCTCAGAGCTCCCGCGGCTGCAGGGAGCCCAGAGCCCTTTAAATCCCGCCCACAGCTCCGGCGGCCAAGCTGGGGTCAGGATTTAAAGGGCTCAGAGCTCCCGCGGCTGCAGGGAGCCCAGAGCCCTTTAAATCCCGCCCACAG